GTCTCGTATCAAGTACACATACAGTACAGAAATGGGTCTCAATTTTGCTCAAATCCTCATAGTTCCACTCTAATTATCGCATGAGGTATAATGATTGGCAGTTGTAACGTAAACCACCATGCAGGTTAATCAGAGCAGCAACAACATGCAACAGGACCCACTGAAAATCTCCCCTCACCACATAAATGTACTTTACCTTCTAATGAAACACCTGCCAGTGGGATAGTCCGCCTTCTGACTTAAAGTCTGTGAAGCTGTGCTTACATTTGGAAACAGGCTGCATTCACATGTGAATTGCATCACAAGCAGATGAAGCAAAAAATCACCTAAGGCAGTGGTCTTAGAGCATGTGATTCCCACCACATGATGCAAAGTAAATCCTAACCTGGGTCAGTAGCTATTTTGTGACCATTTGGATTTGAACTTTGTTGACTTTTTAATTAAATCAAATCTTCTTCAGCCAACGAAGTGATTAGGAAGTGGAGGAATGTAATCACAGATCTTAAGAACATTTTTTTAAAGGTGCTGAAGTGAATTCAGAACCCAAGTCCCATTTTCAAAGGGAACTGAAACACTTTGGAACGTCAGTCATATTGACCTCTTGTGGTACTGAGGAACATAATAGTTGATCTTATAGGGTGCATCCACACATGCAAGCACGTGCACTTGCAGCAGCTCAAATAGAAGCGGTGCAAATTTGAGCCAACTCAGGAGAAAGGCTAACCTTTTCCAAAAGGGTTAGGTCACATTTGAAGACTGGGACTTGGGTTCCTAAGTCACTCAAGCACTTCAAAGAAATTTCACCCTATTACTACTATTATTTAGATTTATATCTGGCCCTATCAAGAAATGCTCAGAGCAGCTTACAAGAACAAACAAATGACTCACAAGATAAGAAACAAGAGATTCCTCAACTGGCATGTTGAGTCATACATGTCATACAGAGTCACACTACCTACTTGTGTAAGATCACTACTGTGACACGCTATATGTTGCTAACATTGCCATCACTGTAAATAACCATGAGATAATATAAATCATTACATTCAGCAAATGCAGTTTGGGGACTTAGCAATTTTTTTTCCTGTAGATGAAATAGAGCCACTGTCAATAAACATCTAACACATTTTTGGTTGCTATAGAAATAATAGTATGCAATTACCAAGTGCTCTCCTTAACTTCAGGGAGATTTGGACTTGCCCCTTCTTGGCATGTCTGCAGGCTTGCTTCTGTTCCCACTGAAGTCAAGAACAAAACTCCCATTCACTTCAATGGGACAAGCACTGCACCTTAGAATTTGAGCAGTAATTGCTGGGACAGAAACGCTAGCCACAATCACACTATTTTCTGTATCATATTATTAGGAGATGATGATACAGGTGAAATGTATCATCGTGTTCCTGCTTGATAACTGCTGCAAGCCTTCTGCATCATGGTCTTAACTGAATAGATACTGGCAATCTATTCCTTGTGCCAGTTTTTTATGGGGTGTGTTTCTTTGGTATTAACCCCCCCTGCAGAGTAAAGGGAAATCAAACCAACACAATTTGTTGGTGTTACAGCCTGCCTGTTTCTGACTTCTAGAGCATATTTTCTATTTGCAGCCAGAAAGTGTTTGCATGATGCTGAGAAAATAAATCTGGCTTCAAATAAGAGTGCAAGGACAAATTTTCAAAAGCTGACAGAAAAGAATACCCAAGGGTCATGACAGCAGCCATTTCTTAGCACCCCTCCCTCCTCAAAGCTAGGCTTGCAAGTTCTATAAGCCTTTGAAACTGCCCTTCCATTGAATTTGGATAATGCTGCAGTACATACTACATATCGGGGGGTCCAAATGTTAAACCATTCCAAATATCTGAGAGGGGTGCTGCATTTTCCTGCTGGTCCCCAAGTTGCAATAGATGGTTATACATGGCAGGGGAGGAGAGAAAAATCATGTTTATTGGGCTTCATTACACTAGACAAATAATGAATCCTCACAATAGGCAGTCTGAGCATTCTGAGAATTTTTTTTCACAGTGAAGTGTCTTGAAATAAGGGGTACTATGCCAAGGGAAGTGACAGAAGCCCCACTGCTACAGTAATTTGAAACTAGTTCAGACAGTGGAGGCAGGCAGCAATCCTGCTCTAGGCACCTCAGGGGAAGGACTAGATGAGTCTTTTCCATCTTTATGAGTCTATTATTACTGCCAGGATATTAAATGCCAGAACAATCTCCATCAAGCAGCAGACAAACAGTACCAAAGGGTGCCATTGAGGGGTTAACCCCCCTCCCTCCCCCCAGTATTAGCCTTTAGAATTGCAAAAAATACTAATCAAAATAAGAATCTCTACAATATGTATATCTGGCTGCAAAGAAAACATCATAAACACTATAAGCGCCATATGTCATTGCTCTTGGACAGACTATGCATGAACATCTCGAGAGGCTGATGCTCCCTCAGGCCAACAGTTCATGGGTTTCTTGTAAGCCACTTTCCTAGCATGGCTAACACTTTATTAGTGCTAGCAAAGAGGCTTCCCTTCAGGTTTCTAGAGCAGTGACTGAAAGGGAAGTGGGGTGAGAGGGGGAAAGGGGCTTAGGGTTCATTGGCTGGAATCAGGAAGTGAAGGGAGGGCTCCTAACCCTACTGAGTTACTAGCACTCAAATACTACAGAAAGCTACAGTATTACCTCTGATGTTTACGGCAGAGTTGGCACAGAAGTATTCACGTTTCTTATGCATTTAATAAAAAAAACCTCGTAGCAACTTGGCTGGCTGGAAAACATTTCCTTCCAGTGAAAAATCCCAGGATTTAAACTCTGGTGTGGAATGGAACTGAGTCCTATCAAAAGATTTTGCAAAAAACTAGGGGAGGGGGACCAATCTAAGCGACCCGGTTCAAATCCCTGGTCTGCCTGAGTACCATTAAAGGTCCATTGGACCACCCTAACCACCACCTCCAGAGTCAGTTTCTTTCACTCAGTGGATATTTAATTATTTATACTAAGGGAAACAGCTCCAACAGGAGAGACTGGCTCTATTTCTGTGGTTAGCCAGGGCTTGAACCTGAGTCTCCCATGATGCAAGTGAATGCCCCAACCACTGAGCATTTGGCTGTTCTTCTATAGATTTGTCTCCATGTATCTTAGAAATTGTCATACACCTGTGAAACTTTCCCAGTTAAAATGTTGTAGAAATGGGTTAGTTTTAACAAAACTAAACAAAAACAAGTTGGGCTTTTGGGGGGAGGGGGGGGATGCAGAATAAACAAACCACAAATGTGCCACTGAGAAATTCTTGACTAGCTCAACTCTGCAAGCCATTTGCAGTATTGCCACCTTGCTAAAGATCAAAATACAGCACCCATCATTCTAGACCCCAAGACTGGAAAACAGAGGGGAAAAAAGAAAGTCTCTCATGAACCAAATCTCAAAATTTTCCTGTAATTATTTGGAACAAAACTCATGTATTACTGAATTCTTCACCAAAGAAAGTTCTGAATAATTCCATTTTGGCTTATCTGAACTGTGTTGTTTCAACACATCTAAATGCTTTGCTTGGATTTCATCAATGAGGGAAATGCCAGGATGTTTTGATGTTGTTCAAATTCCCCCCCACCCTTTTTTTGGTCCAAAATAAATTGGTAAAATCAACATGTTATGAAGCACGTTCTGTTTTCCAATTGAAGTTTTTCTGGTCTGCTCTAAAAACTGACCTACACATTATGAGATTTTATTTCGATGATAAATATTGGGTTGATTTTTTTTTTAATTTGTCTTTTAGTTTCCAGGCCGTTAGATCTCACAGTTTATATTTCACCTTTTCCTCCAAACCAGGAGGGCTAAAAGCTTATTTAAGCTCCCACCTCCAAATCAAATGTTCAATGCAATCTCTTGATTCCAGCAACTGGAGCTGTAAGCAATCCATCAGAATTGTGAGGTTTGCAATTAAATTGTGAGAGTCAGTAACACGTTTTCTGCTTTGGACAAGGAACACCGTCAGTACATGGAAGACAGTCTTCAACTGCAGTTTTCCCAAAGGACTGTTCACTTTCCTCAGACAAGTAGGTACTTCTGAGGGGGAAGGTGACTGGTGTTTAACAGCATGTGCGAGTGCTATACAAATCTGCAGGTCAGTAATTTCTTTTCCAACTGAAGGAGCTCAATGGAAGCAGGATGCAACTGGTGAAGTTAGGACTTGTCACATTTCTTCCCAGACACTTGGAGGTCTACAATAACAGGTGGCTAGACTTCTCTTTTACATTTTATCTGAATGGTCGCATGCAGCAGCACATCCCGTCCCCTCCAGCACCACAAGGGGCAAGCATCGCACACTGAATCACCAATACGGTTTCCAGCAGCACTGAAGTGATCTTCTGGGAGCTCCTAATTAAGTACAGTACTGCCTTGACACAACCCTACTTAGCTTGGAAGACCTGAAAGCAGAGATATATACATTGGATGTCAGCACTCCTTCTGGCAAGGGATGGGGAGAACCGAATGGTTTTACAGATGAGACAGGGAGAGCCCTTACCTGGGCTTAGTTTTCACAGCTTTGAATGGGGTATTTCCCACCTAAGATGTAGTGGACTACGTCCATTTGTTACTTTAGATGGCAGCAGCAGAGAATCTGACAGCTTCCCTGAGAACGTGATGAGTGCTCTAGGAAAAACATAGCCTCTGCTTTTTAGCAGATCACTTGCTCTCTCTCTGAGCACCAAATGCTGCTCCGTATGTCTCATTCCTGAGAAGTGTTTAGGTAAAACATTTACAGCTGAGCTCCAAATGAGAATGTGAGCTGTTCTAAAGAGCTGGAAAGCATGGTGCAGAGGCGAAACAAGAGCGCATGAACAACGTGGGCCATCTCCATGATTCCTATGCCAACTCCTTCAGTTTGCAAGTGTTTATGTCAATAACTCAAAGACCTGTCACTCCACAAACAGCCATGGAAACCATAAGAGCCATGAAGTGACGTCAGAGCAATACCATTTACAATACGAATACATCTCAGATGGGGAAGAGGGATAGAAAAACATTTTATTTTGTTATTACTGGTTATATTCCAGCAGCTCCTTGAGATGAAATCAGAGCTGCTTTGTGCTGGGCACTGTTAGCTCTATGATCTCCAAGAGACAATCCTTGACCCAGTCCTTGAACAGAAAAAGGGTTGTAAGAACACTATCCCACCATGACAGATGGAGAACTGAGACAAAAAGATTACATGACTTACCCAAGATCAAAAAGTAAGCCTGTGGAAAGGCTGGAACTGAAACCTTATCCCCAGCATCCATTCAAAGCTATAACTAAAAAACCCATTTTCCAACATATCCTTCCATTATTTATCTCTTTTGCAGAAGAACCAAAAGACATTTGCAAATACCCTAGAGATTTGTCTTTCTAATGCTGTGTGTACATATACATATACACACATACATGATGCTGTTAATGGGTTGGGATTCTGAATGGCTTTTAAAAAATAATAAGGCTTTTTGGCTGACCTATAAGCAGGTTAGTTCCTCAGCTACCTCCCTTTTGCTATTCATTAACAAGGATTTTTGTTGTTTGGTAACCATCGGCAAACTCACACAGAGGCCTCTAGTCACCAGAGTCATCTCTCTCTTCTGCCCCAGGTTTGTTATGTACCATATTGATAGTCCCTGAGGCTACAGAACTGAAGGAACCATTACATGTTAAACTGGCATGGGATTTCTATAGCATGGAACAGCCGCAAGGACTGTCAGGGGGACCATGCTCTACACCTCTCTGTTGAATGTCTACTATCCCCATTGTAGTATTCACTTACGTTCATGCATTAGTATCCCAATCCAACAAAATACTTGATTGTGTGGATACCCAAGCACAACAGCAATCCCTTTCAAATCAGTGGGGTTACTGACATGCCATATAACCAGAACCCAAGGAAAGCAGCAAGGCGGGGGTTACATAGGCTTTTCTCTTTTCCAACCTTTGGATCATCCCCATTTTAGAGGTTGAACTAAGGGCTTGATTTCCCATTTCCAATAACGTGGTATCTCGTGTGAGAGTTCAGCAGAGACTGTACTGGAATTAAACATCTGGTCAATCATGAATGGAGCCTGAATTTCAAAAGGAATTTGTTACAAACACACACTGTCCAGGCTAAAATAATACTTTAACAAAAAAGATTTCATTTGTTTTAAAGAAAAGTACAGATAGGTTTCCATTACAGACTATAACAGGATAAGCTCAGGACTTTCCAATCACAAGAAGTTTTACTTCCATAGCTGCCTAAAGCAGTAAAAATAAACCTAGCCACAATTAGACCAACAGCTGATCATGACAAACAAGGGAAAATTTCTATGGAGTTTATCCGGAGAACCGTCTGTGGCTGCACGATAACTGGAAAAGAACAAAAAAAAGAAAACAAGATCACACCACTTGAACATATTATACATTAATATTATGCCTATGTGGGAAGGCTTTGACTGGCACAGCCTGATTAGGGGTGTGAGGAGATACGATTCTTGGACATAGTTGTGCCAGCAAAAGTTACCCTGGCAAAACTGTGCTCTTACTGGAATAGTTTATACTACTTGAATGAGCTGGAATGAAGTATGTTGGCAGAAGCAGAATTTTGCTGGTATAACCACATTCCCATTATGACACTACTGGTGGAGCCTTCTGGTATACAGTTGCATCAGCAAAGCTTGCTAGTGTACACAAAGCCTGAGGAAAAGCACCAGCAAAAGTGGGTAATTCTTCAGAGTGTCAGGCTAATCCACCTTTTAGTTCTACCCAGCATCTTTCTCTTTTTCATTGTTTTTTCCCTGGCTGGTACTCAGGAAGAAGCTGTCACTCCAGAGCTGCCTCATTTACATGGTAATTGAGGCCTGCCTCAAGAGGTTGCTGAGACTTGCTAACATCTGTTGATATGTATGCAAGATTTGGGGCTGAGAAAGGAGAAAGGCAGTGCTTCCTTGTGCTGGAAGCTGTATTTTAAAGCTTTTTTTGGCAATACAGGCGATGTGCGTCACGCACTGGAGAACCGAAAAAGACCACTTTGCTCAAAGCTGCCAGGGTGCTGTTGGGGTGATCCTGGGCCAAGTCTGTGGTAGGTGTGGGTGCTACTTTGTCCATGCTTGGGGCTCTAGGTGCTGAGCTGCAGTATTCCCTGTATTTCTGGGGAAAAGAATGGGAGAGTTCTGTGTTCATCTTACTTTTTTTCTTTCGATAATTGTGCCTCTTCCAAAACTTCATGTTAATTTTTGGCCAAGATTCTGTCTTCTCAATAACTATGGCTTCTACGCGGACAAGATCTTTCCTTAAAAAGAAAAAGGCACCATGTAACTATTATCAATGGGCAGGTTTTCTGGAAGAATTACACAAAAATCATGCAGTTTTCCTACAAGACCTTGTCCCACAGGAACAGCTACAGCATCAGGCGCTGAGTGTGTCAATCTGTCTCAACACTGCCAAAATAGCTTTGCACGGCAGAAACACAGGATAGGGCATGCAAGGCTTGGACTACCCGAGTGCTGACTCCACTCTGTACAGCAGGGCTGCTCTACTTCCATCCCAAAGAGTTGGAAAGGAATGTTTCTCCTCTCATAAATGCTTTATGGGCTTATAGCGGGTTTTTTCCTCCTTCCTCCAAATACTGGCCACCAGTGAAGGTGGGAGTTTTGATTGTGGTGTGCTCCTGCCAGTATGATGAAACTCGGTAAGTCCCTGGAAAGAGGGTCCTCCCTCTTCCATTCAGGGTCAAACAGGCTAGAGTCAAGTTCCCTCTTGCTAACTCTCTTTCTGGCCCCATAAATCTTGCTGTGTTGCTATACAATGGCCTAACTTCAACAGGAGAGGAGAATATCCCTACTTTGGCCTTGCCTCTCTGCCAGTCAGTCAGTGTATTTACCTGGGAGGTGAAAGGTTTGAGTCTTCTCAGTTCAAGGAACACCTAGAACCCAGGTGTCCCGCTTCCTGGGCAGGAGCTCTAACTGCTAGGTTACTGTGTGTAGGATGGGCACCACCATCACTACCTCTGGCTGTATACTAGAAGAAAATAGGAGGCTAGTCCTTTGGCCCTAAAGGAACGGCTTAAACACACAAGGGCAGGAAGGAATTTGAGTCTGTAAATACAAGTTTCACAAAGACACAAAACTCAAGGCTTCATGAGAAGGAAGCTAAGGATTTCAGCTCTGCTACTGGCTGTCTCAGCTTGTGGGCTGTTGGAAATCTCATTCTCAGGCACCTCCCTTTCACTATTCAAAGTACAGGGATCCAGGTCCCTAGAAGTTAGGCAGGGCTAAGGATCACAGGGGCCAAGTCCCTTGGTGACTCCTGGCCTCATCTAATGCTTTGGGTAGCTCTGTTTCTAATCAATGCCAGTGGTGGAGCTGTGGCATTGCTCTGCTGCAAAATGCCATTAAACACTTATCACTGAGCTCCCTTCTCTGCCAGGAAACATTAAAGACCATTTTCTTGACAAATAACTCTGTCTGCAATTAAGGAGGGGTGGGAGTGGAAGAATTCTAATAAGGTCATTAAAGGTCAAAGGTTTTGAGATTTACCATCTACATTAACATTTCCATTTTGGGGATGTACTATGTACAAGAGGTTGAATTTTTAGAGGGGAGGAGAAACAGCTTATGGCTGAAATATCCATGAGCTAAGCAGCAAGCCACACAGGAAGCACAGTTTAACGTGGAGGTTCTCAATATGCCTACAGTCCATGAAGCAGTGTGCCACCCAGCTAATGGAGGTTTCTGGGAAATTTCTGGGTCTTGTTCCTTTTCAGTTGTATCTTCAAAGTGTACAATAGTATACAAATTACTGTATTTACCTGAATCCAAGATGATTTGGAATTTAAGATGACCCCCCCTGCATAATTAGATTCTATAAATGGAAAATTATAAACTTGTTATAATTTTCCATATATAGAATCTAATTATTGGATGGTCATCTTAAATTCCCCCTGTCCCCCCCTCAACTGTGGCAGGCAAGGCTCAGCAGGGGGCAAGGGACCAGACCCTCATTCCTTCCCCTCACCTGGTACCTGTGCCCCTTGCCATTTAGATCCACCCCCACTGCACCATTTTGATTGGGGGAAAAACTCATCTTGGATTTGAGTAAATACAGTATAAGACTAGAGAAATTACAACTGCGTGCTACGTAATAAGACAGACAAGGATCTTTGGGTAAATGTGATATGCTATGTAATAACCCATTTACCCAGAGACACCGGCTATGTATGTGGCTCTATAAAAACACATCAGGTCATTCCTGGGTGGGGACAGACAAAGAAAGAGGCTATTAGCTCTTGGCACAAAAACACATTTTAGTTTATTGTTTTTAAAGAGGTGCCATCTCAGGAGTGTCCGATTTCTACTGAAAATTGAAACACATCCATCTGTTAAAAGCTGAACGAGTTTCTACCCATCTCCCAGTCTACCCAGGGAACTCAGCACTATTGGACAGTGTGGTATACAAAGAGTGGCACAGGCATTTGATCCTGTGTTTATTTTTAACCCAACAGAAATCAAAAAGCCTTTGTATTAATCCAAGTTATTTTTTTCTTCTAAAAAGCTTGGGGCTTATGGGTAAGTTGGGAGATATGACCGACACTTTCAAGTCCACACTGTTGCTAATCAGACCTGCACCATTGTCCACTGCTGTCTCATAAAGGAGTAGTAGGTGAGGGGCTCATGCAATCAGATGTTCCCCCAAAGCCCTGTCAGGGAAGAAGGGGAACCACACCCCACTTCTATATCTCACCTCTATGTGCCTCCCCTCTCCCATCACCTTTAACACAGTTCAACCTAACTCTGTTAAACACATAGTTTTACTGCTGGCAATTCCCTGGAAAAAGTTTCTCCCCTTTCAGTGAAAAGGCTGATAAAATGTCGCTTTTCCTTTTCCCCCAGCATCTCCAGGAAAGGCCTGTACCCAAACGCACTGGCAAACCCAGCTCAGCAAAATACCGCTGCACTGGCTGCTAATTAGTTCAGGAAATTGCACAAGACTTGTATTCTTATAGTAGGGTTTCTTGAAGAGGGGTCCAAGACAGAGCCTGCCTGAGGTGGTACATGTAACCTATCCAGAGGCTGCAATAAGCTTTCATTTAAAAAAAAAAAAGTGAAGCTTTGACACGTAATGACATGTTGCAAAAATTCCGCCACAAATGTGAGAGCTGGCTCAGTTCCTCTGGCAGCAGCCATGCTGGGAGTCCTACAGTAGGCAAGGCTCCTGCTGTTCCAGGCCTAATCAACTTGATAATAAATAAATTGGTTGCCACATGATCCTTGTCTACTGTACAGATCCTAATGTTGTTTGCACCAATGCAACTGAGCCTGTGTTAGCAACAGGGTGAGCAGTTTATCAGTAACTCCTAGTGTAGACAAGGTTGTGGTTAGGAAGAAAACTGCCCAGCTGTGAAATGAACATGAAACAATGCCGTGTTACCTGCCGGAGTCTCCACTAATGGTTCTGCAGGGTGAGCGCTCCTCTCACTCTACATTAAATGTTCCTGGGGGGTTACCTCCCAGACAAACGTTGACAGGCAACATCAATTCTGTATGTGCTGTCACTCAATTTGTAGTGGCAGAGCTAGGAGTGAAATCCATGGGGAAGGGAACAGGAAAGAAGCTCCTTGGGTGTAAAAATTGACAAGTTACTGCAAGGAGGGAAATGCAGAGAGATAAAAGGAGGAGAGACACCAAAGATATAAATAAACCAAGTTAATGGCAGGTGGGGACAGCTACCCTGTAGTAACTGTCAGTTGCTCACTTTTATGCTACTATAAGTGGAAGCTAGACTGGGGCAGCATTGCCAACCATGAAAGATCATGTGTGT